TAGTACAAAAAAAAGGTTGTTTGGACAAAAAGTTTTTTTACCGAAACAGTAAACTCACTGTTCATTTTTTGCTATTTAAAATTTTTTCTTGTAATAAACTATATACTTTATTTATCTTAATGACAAGCTTAATTGATTAATTAAAAATATTTCTGCTAATTAAATACAACTATGGATTAGTTAAAAGTAGATAATATAATATAATGGTGCACCTAATGGCACGCCATGCACCAAAAAGTTTTAGTGGTGCACCAGTGGCACGCCATTAGATTATAACTGCACCAGCAACCCTACCTTTTACACCTTCGCTCTTTTGACCTTATACATCTTCGTTCTTTTGGCCTTCTTTGCCTTCATTTTTTTGACTTTCTCCGCCTTCGCTCTTTAATAACATACGTACTCTTCATTTGTTAACGTCTTTTGGAAACATATTATATCACCATTTTGTATCTTGTATTTTTTAAAAGTAAATTTGGATTTATTTTTGATCTTTTTCACTTGACCTTCTTCGCCTTCACTTTTTTGACCTTTTACGCTCTGACAAACCTGTGGTTTCCAGACTCTCAACTCAGGTTCTTGAACTTTGTTGTACACAAAAAGTCTGTTAGTTCCAGAGGAGGCACTAACTTTATTCGTACCTTCTTTTATCAATAAATAAAAAATTTTGCACACTATTAATCTAGTTTTTTTTTTGTTTTCACAATAGATGACTACCGAACGTACACGGTATACTAAAGATATACAAATATCTTGGCAATGTATAATTGATAAACGTAACAATGTAAGTAAACAAATATACTGTATTATATAAATAAATATATTATGAAATAATTTATTAAACTAAACTTGTTTTGATATGTAAAAGTCCAATAAAAGAAAATATTTTAATAACAATAAAGAGAATTTCGAACAATTACCATCAAAAAAATTCAAAAATAATCCGAACTCTTTAAAAAATTGTATTGACAGTCTTCTCACTGATCATAACATTGAAGAATTATGCATTTACGTTCAATCAAAGTTAAAGAATTGGATTAAAAAAGGCAATCTTTACGAGGATCGCGAACTTGTGACAAAAATTTTATTTCATGCTTTACTATCAGATCTCCCAAACTATTTGGTCGATACAGAAATTCCTATAGAAGTATATCGTAATAAAGTAAAGGTTCACACTTTTTATGCCGACTTATCGGTTGTTGAACTTAAAGCTACCAATAACGCAAAACTTAATCGATTCATTTTTGAATTTAAAAACAAAAATGTCAATTTTTTAGATTTAAAAGTTAATGGTATGCTTTACATTCTTGATTATCTTTTCATAAACTCCTTTTATGCTTGCTGTCATTTTTGAATGTATTGAATTCGAATTTTTTTTAATACTAAATTAGGAAATAACAATAAATGGGAAATCTTGGAAGAAAAAGCAAAAAAAATAGAAAAAATGTCAGAAAATGAGATACGGCAACTTAAATGCAGTAATTCAGAGAAATTTGATAAAGGGAAAACTATTCAAACCATTTTTAATGAGGCTTGTCAGCAACTTTTGAACTATGTCAATAATCTGAGAGATGATAATTATCAAACATCTGCATTCGTAGTGATGTCTGTAGGTTCTAGAAAGTTAATTTGGGAAAAGGTTAACTAGCTTGAAACAATGGAGAAAATCTATCTGTTGTGCTCGAAAGGTTAAATAGTCTTGGATAGTTTTTTTGAAATATTTTTTGTTAATAAAATTATACCAATATCTTTCCTTTTTCAAGTAAATTCGCAAATCAGTATGGTATATATGGTGTGTACGATATAACCGGACTATACTGATCTGCTATTACTGTATATAATTGATAGATTTTTATACTATACGTACCATACTGTTAGCTATACATTTTTACAGAAAATAGAAACTTTTGTAATTATCTATACCAGACCTTTTTTTTAAAAACCTAAATTGCATGTTATAAGTATGTACGCATTTTAAATTTTTACTTTCTACGACATAAATTCTCGGCCAATATACTGGACACCCGGGATCTATTAAAGGTTTTAAAGTTGGTGGAGTATAACAGACCGGGTCTTGTATATAGTCATTTATGGCAAAATATTCGCTTCTAAGTATGTCGAGTAAAATTTTTTTTATTCTTTAGAATAGTGAATATATCACGGAGCTATTTAACTCTAGGTATTGCTCAAAATTATTAATATAGTTCATCAGTCTTGGCCCTGGAAACCACATTATCAGATTTTATAAGTTGATTTCTAACTTTTACCCCCTTCATTTGGTTAAAGCCACTGAGATTCTTCAATAACCACTACTATACTTTATTTATTATTCATCAGTGTTCAACTTACGCATTGCTTTTGCAGTATCACAATGGTTTTCAATACTTTATCGTAACCTTTATTCGAAAATTTTTTGAGTGCATCCACTTTCATATATGGGTAAGTATTCTTTTTTTTTTTTTTTTTATTCTTATATTTAATTTTTCCTTACAAGTTTTTCTTACTAACTTAAATCGCCCCGGGATTTCATAAGTACTATCGAATGGATCGCCTAGTCCTACAATTTTTATGATCTTATTTCCAATAATTTGGTGTACTGTACATCACATCATCATATCAATCAATTACAACAGTCTTGCTAAAATCTGAGCCATTATGATTTCTTAAATCCTTAACATCCTCGTTCACATATTTCACAAATCGTACATCTGCCACACAGTTTCTACTGGACAATCACAAGCTAAGTGCTCTGGTTCTCTGCATGCATTATTTAGACTTGATTTTTTCTTTGTTATCTATTGCTTAATTTACCTCAAGTTCCGCTATCTTATTCTCTACCTTTCTATTGTTCCATACTCTAATTGCATCAAATAATACTAACTTCTTTAAGGCACACTAATTACGACTAATTTCGATCTCCATATACACAATCATATAGGTTTCTAGTTTCTAGTGATTATTAGTTAGTAATTCAATCGATAGATTAATGATCATTATTATTAATTATTATTAATAATTTAAAAAATTTTATTATTAAATATATAGTTACTTTAGTTAATTGCAAGCTATTTTGCAAATTTTCGCAAGTATTTAATAAAGAAAAAGAAAATATAAAATATACATGTTGAAGTATAATAGAGAATAAAAGGTCTAGAAAGTTGGCATGTATAGTAAGTTTGTTAGATAGATATTTGTGATATTTTTTGCTATTAAACTTGATAGAGCTATATCAGCAAATTTATATATACGTAAATACAGAAATATTTGAACAAATATATAGATTAAAAATTTTTAAAAAAATTGTGATTGGTTTAAAAATATGCAAAAATTTACAAATTTAAAAGGCAATTTCTATTTGTACACCTGTGCATAAAACACGGGTATATTAATAGCTCAAAATTTTGCTTATAAAACCACTTTTCGAGTTCTACGTAACAAAAAAAAATTTACATAAAATTTTAGTATAAACTACCTCTAACTCTAACCTCTATTTTGACTTTAATTCGATTTAATTTTTTTCTTTAAATTTTGTATTAAATTTTTTTATAAATTATACTCGTGTTTTATATATAGATGTAAATTTATAAATTCTCAATTTAAAATATTGCAAAATAAAGAGTTTAAAAAAATTTAAAATATAAAATTAAAAATAAGTAATAATATGTAAAGTAATTAAAATTATTTTATTTTATTTAGCAGTTTTGCTAATACTTTATTAGATCTTGTAATTTTAATATTTTAAATACAAAATTTTCAAAAGCTAATTTTTTTAATATTTAATTTATAAATACTAGCTTATCTAGTTATTTAAAGAATATCTATATATAATTTGCTATAGTAAAAATTTACTTTTTACTAACTAATCTTGCTCTAGATTAGTTAATATATTATTGAATAGTTTTTATAGCCTGTCAAAACTACTATTTAATTTTTTTACTACTTTGTATACTGATTACTTTTAATTTATTTATTTATCTTTTTTTTTTACAATTTCTATTATTTTTTTTTTAATATATATTTTTTTCTATTTTGTAATATTCTCTTTTTATATATATACATATATTTTTTATTGATTTTCTATTTGGCTTTTCTTTTTTTTTTTAAATATAATTTTATATTTTTGTTTATATTTTTGCATTAATTTGCATTTTTGTAATCTAGATTTTTTATATATAAGCTCTATTTAGATTTTTTAAAATATTATAACAAAGCTTATTGTTTATTAAATTAGAAAAATAGTTTTAAGTTTTTAAAGTTTTTTTTATTATAAGATTTCTTGTTTATTTTTTTCTTTTTTTTATTTCTTCTATTATATATATATTGTCAACCTGGAAATTCACCTCTTTCAGAACTTTAGAAGACTGCTGATTATAGTATAAAGACTATAACTTTACAGTTTAGGGTTTATGGCATCCAAATGAGACTTAACAAAGAGGTTTTTAAGTGATTTATATATTAAGGCTAAGAGGCAAACAATTAATAGTATATGAGGATGCTACGAATTGTATCTTTATTACTTTCTAGTGTATGAAGACACTGCACTTCCCAGAGGGCAGAAGGCAGCATATTTATAGAGAAATTACATGTATAAATTATTACAATAAAGAAATACAATCTCAATTTAAAAGCTATTTATAGTACTAAAGATAGTATAAAACTAATAGATATGTTATATATAATAGATATACTAGATATAAAAGATGTAATAGATATAATAGAAAGAATATATATAATTGATCTAATAGAAATATTAAATCTTTTAGATCTTTAGATTTTGGGCGCAGTATTATCGGCCAATAGAATTCAAGTCACATGTCTATTCTAATTGCTAATAATATTCCAACACAAATATCTTCTGATCTTGTGATCCGGTAATCAGAATCACATGATCTATAGCTCATTCGAACCGTCTCATTGAGCTGAATCCAATGGTAGTTGTTTCATCTCGTTAGCTTCTCTGGGTCAAAAGTTATGGGCAAAAAGGTAAAAACTCTTAAGGCTAACAATATTTTTTAATTACTATATATAAATATATATATATATATTTTTTAAATATTAAGGTGATCTCTTGGTTAGATGTTTTATTGGTTCTATATTTACATATTCATGTTCTACATTTTAGAGAGTACAACTAGTCACATGTACAACTTTTGGTTATCTAATTTAAGTAGCCTGCCTTAAGGTTCTACACTAGTTATCATACCTATAATCTATTAGAAGGCTATCTAATTAAACTCTTTGCATTATATATTTGCATTTGCATAATCCTATTTAGGATCTAACTAATTATATATTAACTACTGACCTAGAACAGTAAACTTTTTAGAGTTTTATTCTTGAAGTAAACCTGCTAGAATAGCTTTGTTTTATATTACAATACTGCCTAGACTTTTAGTAACTTATATATCTACTGAGGCTAATACTTGCAAATAGGAGTTACCTAAATACTACTATTACTTACTACTTGCTCTTGTAAAGTTTACTCAAACTTCAGTATCAACTTTATAGTATATCTTTAGTACTTTAATACCTCTAAGTTTTATTTTCCAACTACCAATCTAAATAGTCTAGAAGAACTATGACCTGTCTTTGGTATATTGAAACCAGCCTAATATTCTTTTTTTTTAGCAAATCTGGTAGCCTGGTTGGTAAATCTGCTTTACTACAAATAGATTATACTCTGTCTAGTTCTTTCACTTCAGTGTTTGTTTCTTGGGTCTAGCCTTTATAGTAGTATTATTAAAAGTTTATGCTATCTTTTTACTCGGATTTTTTTAAATGAGCTTCTGTTCTCCAAGTTCTACAAATTTATATAGCCACAGAGGCTTATCTTAGATTTGCACTACCTAATACTAGTTTGCATTTCTTTGTATAATAGGTATATAAATACCTCAAACTTGCTAGTTATACTAGTGTAACTGCAGTTACAGATATCTTATTCCAACTATATAGAGAACAGTTGCTATAATACAGACAATAATTTGAATTTTGTCAATAGTAGATTTCAAACTTTTGATCTGCTACTTATTTTATATAATCAAATTCTCTATATACATGCATATCTAGAGATATGAAAAGTTTGTTCTAGTCTGACTCAACTTCAAAAGTCAAGTTTTTGTTAAAGTTTAGTTTCAAGTTAGACTTGAACCTTGACTTGTATCTGTATATGCATCTGGTATATTTAGAATAAAATATAAATGCATACAAAGCAGTAAAGTATTTATAATATATATACTAAATACATATGCAAATACTACTACTATTTTTAATTGCAACATATATAAACTCTAATACTATATAATATGAGAAAATAGTATAAAACTTGATAAGTATATAAAGTGGAGTTAATAGAAAAGGGACAAATTTTTTCTAAGTAAAAGTTTTAAGCTTAAATAATTTAGCAATTATTTTATTAAATTTAAAAATTTTTATTTTATTTTAATTTTATATAATTCTAAAATTAAAAAAAATTTTAGCAAATTTAATTAAATAGTTGTTAAGATATTTTAATTTAAAAATTAAAAAAAATTTTACTAAAAATGATTTGTCTCTTTTTTATTAACCCTACTTCATATACTAATGCCTGATATAATATTTAATATAATTAATATAGACACAACTCACTAACTCTTTCTGATGATCACTTGT